GTCAATGTTGCTACGGGGTTCGCATCAATTTCTCTTTCTCTCTCTCTATACTTTCTATCCTTTTCTCTATTAACCACACACCACCGTTGGAGGCATCGCAAGACAAGTGACAACTGACAAGCGTCGCACCCCCACTCCTCTAAAAAAATTTGAGAGTACGACGGGGCGCAACGCGCTCACCACTGTTGTGCACAGCGGAAAATGCCATTGTGCATGTCATCGCTCGTAGCACTATTGAGCAACAAAAACCACTGGCGAGGTCTTGTTCTATCAGGGAGAAGAAAGCCCTTCAACCATGCCATTTATCTTATTATTTTTCAATGTGGTGGTTGTTGCTACTATACCATGGTCGTTTGTGGTGGATGCTTCTATGATTATGGTGGCATCGGTGTTAGCTATGGTTGTTGTTAGTGGTGATAGTGCGGTGATGCCATTGGTGTTTGTGGTGGTTGGGGTTCGTTGAAGGTGCTAGTGGATGATTTTGGTGCTGGTATGCACCGTGTGCAAATTTATTTATGTCGACCCTCTGTGGCCATGTATTTATTGTGACTGGTTTGTAACCAATTATATGTTAATTGTGACTTGATCACATACCGTTATTGTTAAGACTGTGGTGCTGGTTTGCCAGCTTGTGTAGATTTGTTTTTAGCGACCCTCTGTGACCAAGTATATGTTTATTGTAACTGGTTGTAACTAATTCTGTGTTACTTGAGTTATATTGTGACTTTATTACAAATCGTCACAGGTAAGATTAACCTAGCCACATATAGTTACACTGAATTGGTTACACATGTTATTCACGAGTAACACATATTAGTGATTTTGTTACATACAATCACAAATTAGACGGTCATAGACAGTCTCACACGTTAGTGACCACCACTATCGCCAACACCACCTCCTCACCAACCCCGTCCCACCTCACCGCAGCTACCTTACCATCACCATTATTTGGAAAAAAAACAACCACTACCAACCAGATTTGTGCAAAACCAACCACTATCGACGATTGTATATAAAAATCAAATCAATTATGAGCAAAAACCATCCATTATTGACGACATTGAGCAAAAATAAGATCTGATTCATTGTAGCTCATTATGGCTTCGATGAAGAGAAGCTCCGCTGCACTTGATGCGCCCAGCAGTGGCTTATCATCGCTGAGCGTTAAGAAAAGCTCCACCGGATGAAGAGAAATGAAGAAAAAGATGGTGGGTTGGGATAAATGGGTGGCGTGGGGTGAATATATAGATTAAATTTATTTTTATATTATTATTATTTATGAACTAAATTATCAAAATGTTTATGCAGTGTGTTAGTTATAAAATGTGGTTCTTATAATCTAATAGAAATATATTGTTGCCATAAAAAAATAATAAATAATAAAAAAATAAAAGACCCCAAGACCTTGTTTGGTTCACATTAAAATTTTAATACTTTTTTTTAACTATATATTTTTACAATAAAATAATATTACATCTAAATTAAAAAAAAATTCTTTCTTTTTTAACCATGATTACTCTCAAAAATCACTATTTCAAAATATATTTTTTTTGATAATTTTCATTATAATGCTTGTCTAACAGGGCACAATATCCAAATCCAATATCATCCCTCTGGTCTAACCCATTCCCAAATCCAAACTTGAAACCATCTGCGACTTGGATTCTCTCTCTAGTCTCTGAGTCTCTCGCCTCGAGCTCTCGACGCCTTCTATCGGTGATTCAGCAGAAGAAGAAGGTGAAGAAGCCAGAAGGTCTCTCGTTTCTCAGCCTCTTTCTCAAGGTCTCTCGCCTTCACTACCTTCAGTTACTTTTAAGGGCAAGTACGGAGTATTCTTTTCTTTTTATTTGTTATTTTGATTTGTTTAATGTTTGAATATTGTGATTTTGCTTTTAATCGAGTGCGTGCCAGATGCTTGTTATTATGTGTGTTTGAGTAATGTGAATGTATTTTGTAATAATGCTACTTTCTATTAACTTGTTAGTGCAGACTTGCAGTTGAGGGTAGATAGAATTGAGAGTAGATTTTGCTTAATTTTACTTGATAGGTTCATTTGGGCTTAACTTGATTTTGCTTCCACTAACTTGATTTGGATCCTCTGTTAATAATGGGAGAAAGTTTTGTATGGAGGCTGTTTTCTGATTTCATTTGTTTTGTTGGAATCTCTGGATCTAACTAAATAACAATTCTCTCCCATACGACCCTCATCAGTTCCTCACAGTAAACAATTTTGAAATGCTTGCCAGTGCCCATCATCATTTTCTTTTCTAAAATCAGAGACTTCTTCATTTAAATTGGATTCATCCTTTGATTTCAAACAGCTTCCTTTTCTGGTAGAATGTCTCAAACTCGTCTTTTGCATTACATCTTGACCATCAGCCTCAAGCTCTTCATTAAATCTATGGCCAAAAACTCAAAGTTCGGTGTTGATTAAATTCTGTCCGCACCTAACAATATTCCTGGCTTTGCCCATGTAGAGCTTCTAGCTCTATCTTTTCTTTCTTTTTTTTTCCCCTCCAATTTTATGTTTGCGATTTTCGCCCATGTTTGTCCCTCAAATCAATTTTCAGATTCTATTACTGTTGTATGGAGAAGTATCTTGCCTTTCCATTAGCTATGAAGACAGCTTCAAAAGAATCAGTAGTCCAATAATGGTTACGATTGGAATGGTTTCCCATTAATGTACGACATTATTACTTATTTAACAAAGTTTTGTTTTACATGAAGTTTATAATTTCTCTATTTGTGGGTTATTTATTTATTTATTTATCTTGCTGAGTGTTAATTCTGAACAGTAAAAGACTGAACTAAAAACATGGCAATTTTGAGTATGTTACAACAATAGGATAAAGTTCAAAGTGTTGTACATATAAATTTCTTGCTTACTCATCTTAGAATTTACTTATGTAGTTCCATCAGAATAATTGTTAATAGTAGCAACAGCTAATTTATCAGGTCCCGTTTCATCAACTTCATACCAATTTTTGCTTGTGGTATAGGAGTACTTCCCTTTCAATGTCCTTAACAAACATATATCTTGTGGTAAGGAGTAAATCCCTTTCAAAATCCTCAACTCGAAATCAACTTTTATACTTGTAAATAGGTTAGGTAGAATTTCCTCAGTTTGGATACATCGAACATCCAGTGTCCGTTTATTTACCCATGGCAATTAAGAGAAGGAAATTATGGGAATAGAACCTTATTAAGTCAATATATTTACTTTTAAAAATGTCATCTCTGTTTGACTCTGTTGGAAAAGGAAAATTTATTAACCATTGCATTTTTGTGTATCAGTGCAGAGGATTTTAGTCAACAAGTTTTCACAATGATGTATGGAATCAATTCTGGTGACACATTTTAGTGGAAATTTATTATAGATGTTAGTGGAAAATATGGAAATTCCGGCATTAATTACGTGTACATCATGTTATTAGCTCTTGTGCTTAAAATTTCTGGATCCACACCTTGTTGCAATCGTTATAGATGTAGAGTGTCTTATAATTTTACTTATATGCACACCCAAACAATACACTCCAGCAGGCTTGACAATAAATTGCGATTTTAGTTCATAGCACGACTGCAGATTTCTGTAGGAAAAGCTACAGTAGAAAACCCTTAGCCTCTCTCTCTTTACTCATCCTTTGCAAGGCAGTTCTTTTTCGGGCTTTGGGGTTTCCAGCAACGGCCATACCCACCAGGGAGGCCTATAGATGTTGCTCAGGCTATAGGGTACAAAAAACTTGAGAAGCGGTATTATGATTGTAAGTTTTTGCAAAGCCTTCATTCATTTGCTCCATATTTTAATATTTTTCTTTTTTAATAGTCTCTCTTTTATTACTTCATGTTTTTCTTTGAGTAGAAATGTTCTTTTCACACGATCATATTGACTTTTGGGCAAATTTTTGGGTGTCAGACCCCTAAATTTTATTAAACTTTGTAATTTATTAACCATTGCATTTTTGTGTATCAGTGCAGAGGATTTTAGTCAACAAGTTTTCACAATGATGTATGGAATCAATTCTGGTGACACATTTTAGTGGAAATTTATTATAGATGTTAGTGGAAAATATGGAAATTCCGGCATTAATTACGTGTACATCATGTTATTAGCTCTTGTGCTTAAAATTTCTGGATCCACACCTTGTTGCAATCGTTATAGATGTAGAGTGTCTTATAATTTTACTTATATGCACACCCAAACAATACACTCCAGCAGGCTTGACAATAAATTGCGATTTTAGTTCATAGCACGACTGCAGATTTCTGTAGGAAAAGCTACAGTAGAAAACCCTTAGCCTCTCTCTCTTTACTCATCCTTTTCTCACCGTTCCGTCCTCCACTTTCCACACCCTTCTTTCAAACTCCCTCCCAAAATCAATCCAATTTCATTCTCTTGTTTATCAAGTATATTTGCCCTTATATTTCACCCATGACGTCAATTAATTTCAACTCATTTAACGAAAACTGGTTCAGAAACCCACCAAAAATCCCATTCCAACCCATAAATCTTCTGCAGTCATTCTTCAAACCTCACTCCAAGACCTCAAATTTTGCTTCCATTACAAATCCTTTTTCCAAAAAACCCAAGAATGATCCAAAGAAACCCAAGAAGTACAGCCAAATGCTGGATCAATTCTACTGGGAGTGCGAGAATTTGCCGGACTACCGGCACACCCCATGTCATATGTGAATTTGTAATGCTGTGAAGTTCATTTTTGTATCTACATTTGAGTTTTGATGTATTAATTGGTTAGAATTTGTTTGAGAAGGCTATGAATTACTTTGTTAGGATTTTTAGTTGTGAATATTTTGTTTTAACCAAATTTAATAGTCGTTCTTGATTAATTCACACTAATGTTAGATAAAGATGTTTCTGGATTTGATTCTAGAATGAAAATAATCTAATAATTACTGGTGTGAGGTTTTTTTTTTTTTTATGTTTAATTTTTATAGTGTTAATCTCTTTTTTTGTGTTTTTCTTATTCATTTTTTTTGTGTAGGCGTTGCCAAATGTGATTGGGCTGGATGGGAGGCCAATGCCGAGGAAATCAATAAAGTCGAAAGGGGAGTCGGATGATAAGTTTTGGGATTTTGCAAGGCAGTTCTTTTTCGGGCTTTGGGGTTTCCAGCAACGGCCATACCCACCAGGGAGGCCTATAGATGTTGCTCAGGCTATAGGGTACAAAAAACTTGAGAAGCGGTATTATGATTGTAAGTTTTTGCAAAGCCTTCATTCATTTGCTCCATATTTTAATATTTTTCTTTTTTAATAGTCTCTCTTTTATTACTTCATGTTTTTCTTTGAGTAGAAATGTTCTTTTCACACGATCATATTGACTTTTGGGCAAATTTTTGGGTGTCAGACCCCTAAATTTTATTAAACTTTGTGTTCATAAATTGATTATGGTACTTTAATGTAAGGTTTTTTGGTTCTCTGTAGAAATGGTTTACTTGGGGTGCTTGTCATTGGTTTAAATATATGCAGGTGACATCTAAGACAAGTTACTTAAGGAGATAATGTTCTAATAGAAGTAACATACTCAAACATTCTTATAAAATTTAAGCAAGAAAATCGGTATTTTCTATGTCAGTATGGATCAATTTGTTGCAAATTGTGTTGATCTGAATGAGCATGGGCTTTTGCAACGTGAATGTTGCAGGAAATCTTGCTTCCGCAAACTTCGTTCCATAATATTTGGTTTTTGTTTCTGTTTTTGTTTATGTTTCTAATTTGATGAACCTTCATCTTTTATAATGTTTCCACTTGATTAGTTCAGTGGGGGCAGTTGTCCCCGCTGGACTTTGGAGGGAATATTTTTGTTTTTGGGCTTCTCTATTGAAGAGAGTTGAAAAATGCAGAATAAGCTGTAGGAATGCTGCGTGTTTCTTTATCTTGTGCAGTGTAGTGCTTGTTTTACAGAAATTTGACTAGTACTGCATCTAACATCCCTTTTGAGGTTTTGCTATCCTATTGGAACAAATGTCTAGTCTAACAACTATTAAACTAATCAATGCCCTAATTGTGTACAATTTTTACACGAGTTATCCATTTATCAGATTCGGAACAGTTATGTTAAACTTCATAATTTGTGAAGTTTAACAAACGGAATGATACTTTGTTTATTTATTCATCTATAGAATTTAATTGGTGATTATAAACTTTTAATGGCATTAGAAGTTGTATTATATATGTTTGTTGTTCAATGAGAACTTTCATAACTATTCTTTGAGATAATGTGTAAGAAATGAACTTGAAGGGAAGTATATAACCCACTATTTTTCGAGGAATTATTTGAAATTTTATTTTGATGTCAGAAAATCTTTAAGATCCATTCAATCTTTTCTATCACGATCTATAATCTTAAAGTCTCTGTTTAAGCCACTTCTTTGTGCATTTCATGCGTGCATTGCCTTTAATTTTTGTTGGATTCTAGAAATCATGTACATCTTCTAACTATAAATTCTGAATTAAGATAGTCAACAAAATCATTTGAATTTTTCTAACAGAGAGCAATCCGATAGTTTGCTAACATTGGAATATTTTAGAATTTGTTGGGAGAAATTTAAGAACTAAGAACGTGGATGGTAATTGGTTTGTCTAGATCACTCCCGGCATAAACCTTAAGGAATGACAATTTTATGTCACTTTGGTGTTTTCGAAGTATGAAATTCCATAGGAAACAATTGTAAAATATGGCAGAAAAAAAATTTATAACATTTTTAGCATTCTTGAGTCAGTGTTTTATTTTTACTGAAAAGTAGTCCCCCGCTAAAGTATATTCCTGTTTCTGCCGATGTGCTTTATATAGTTTTGATCTTCAGTTTGTTCATTATTGCACTTCACATAACTCATGCTTTACCCCTAGGGCAGGTGTTTTACAGTTTGATTACTGTAATGCTGTATAATTTACTAACTTTTGTGTGTGTGTGTGTGTGTATTTTACTTCTCGTGTTTAAATGGTTCATTAAAATTTTAATCTGATGTTATATACTTATATCGCTTTTCTCTTAGTTATCATGAGGAGTGGTGGGTTTTACTATAAGGATCGGTTGGGTCGTACAAGAGGACCGATGGAATTAATCCAGCTTAAAACTGCTTGGGGTGCTGGAATTATTGATAAGCATACGTTTATATGGGGTGAAGACATGGATGAATGGGCACCTATTGGTATGATATATGGTATGGAGCGTGCAATTGCTACGTGGGAAGGTTTGTAATTTGTCCCGTGTAAATTGTTATCCACTTTGTTGATAATTGGCATATAGAATGTCATTATGTTTGAATGTATTGTTACATTTCCAGCACCATTTTCTTTTTGTGGATATACAATAAGGTGGAATCCCTAGCAAAAAGTGTGGTAATAGATTGAGAGGTTTCCAAATCACGATATGTTTAGCTTCTTCTTCCCCTAAAGGGAACAAGAGGTGGTGTCTTGACGAGACTATAATATTCAGATACGAGAAGTTATATTTGCACTATGGTGAATGAATAGAAAAATTATTCACCGAATCCACTTTAAATCAAGTATAAATAATAAGAGTTTAATTCCTACTTTTTGAGTACCAAAGATTCAACTTACAAGGAATCATTCAAAATATTTATTAAAACTATTTCGAATGGAAAAAGGTTCCTATTTAGACATCATTTAAAGATAAGTCTTTTTTTTAATTGACCCATCACTGATGTAAAATTGCAGTAGAGACATAATTTTTCTTGAGAATGTGAATTTCTATTTTATAAACTCATTTTTTATTAGATGCTTGTTTACTTTCTTTTCAGTTAGATTAGGTGCTGCTGCAACAGCTTTCCTTCATAAACTACAGAAAGGTATACCGCCTTGGGTTCCACTCAAGGGGTTCGAGGATATAACATATAAGCAGCTCCAAGAAGAAGCACGTGAGAGTAAAAGGCGTGATTTAGCTGTGCTGGAAGCGAACAATGGTGTTTGGCCTGGTGTAAGGACACCTAGTCATGCCCTGTTTCTCTGGGCAGGTGGCTCGGAGCTGACGTCAATTCTGGAAGAGGACCACATGCCCAACAAATACATCCCAAAAGATCTTAGGTATTATCTTCAGCATATTATGCATTTCCCTATTTGCTGTGGATGGTTTTTGTTACTTCTGTGAAAATTGCATGACTGGTCCCATTCTTCCAAAGAATCGAGTACTTCCTCAACCTTTCACGTTTCTTGTTCCACAATAAGCCTCCAATAACAGAGAGGTCAAGTCCCGGTTAAGTTGTTATGTTGCCCTCACATGTCCAACTTTATGTATATGAGTTTTATTTCTCAGTTTGGACTAATGTCCAAAAATTTGAAGTGGGGAATGTTTCTATGCGGGTCACGTGAGAATTGGATGGTTTTTACGGTCGAGAACTCTATGCAACTACAATAGGTTGGGAAATGGTGTCTTTTTTCCCTTTTGTGAATAGCAGATTGTCTTTATGTTGATTGGCTGAATTGTATTTTCTCTTCGCAAATAAGTAGATTGCATATTTCTTACATCAGTTTACTGCTGCGCCCCCTTATATACAAGTACTCCTTGGCTCTTCCAAAATTAATCTAGTTTACGGGTCATTTTTGTGGGACAGGCTTGAATTGGCTAAAATTATTCCTGGATTAAGGCCATGGGAGGTTTTAAGTGTCGAACAAGCCATGGATCAGATCACCTATGGTGGCGAGTGGTTCCGTGAACCTCTTGGTACATTCACGACTGGCCCTCCATATATCCGTGAGTGGAATAAGGATGTGATGGTACGTGCTGTGGCCAAATTTTTTATTTTAAATCTTATATTACATTTGTTGGTTCATGTGCAATACTACAGTTATGTGAATGTGGCTACTATATTAACACCATCTTGCTCTGCTTTCTTTATGCAGAGATTGTTTCAAATTTTCTACAGCCTGAGCGTTCAAGTGTACAACAAACTGGAGCGGACTATTCCGGGTTTCAGCACAGTCATGGAGAAGGTCCAAGCCGACTCTATCGCAAGACAAAACAGACGAAAGGCAAAGAGGGCTGCACAGATGAGGGCCGAGGAAGGAGCTGCATTGTTTGGTCGAGTTGAAAGTGATAAATAACGCGCTCTTCTGCTTATTTTCATTTTCTCTTCGATGACATGGCAGTCGATTTATCGTTGTCAGCAGTTCGTGTTGCGTTTATCATGTGGTCGAGCATTTTGGATTTTAGGACCTACACAATTTTGAGCTTGTAACTTGACATAAAATCATAATGTTAGGCTTATTTTCTGTGGGCTGAATATGCGACTTTTTTATTTTACAGTTTAGTATTTTCTACAAGTACATCATTTGCCTATTCGATAAATAATTTCCAAATAAAATTTGAAAAATGCTAAAGAACCTGGGATTAAATCCCAGGTTCGGTTCCAGGGGTAGAGGTGGCAGAGCCTCTGCCCCGATTTTGATGGTGAGCCCCCCAAGTGCAGAAGATCAACGGTCGAGGTGTTTTCACCTCGGCCCTGAATTGGAGCCCGGGAACGATTGTTAAAATTTAAAAGAAATTTCCGAGCTTTCTTGCACAAGCTGTACTTGCAAATGGCACACTTCAGTTGAGGAGCGCTTTGAGTCCTCCTCACCTTGTTGTTCCTGGGTGTTGAGGAAATGGCTGCAGCCCAAATCGAGCAATTTACTACTTGTGATCTGATGAGGGGGTAACTTATAAGTATGAGAGAAAAAGTATCTCGTAATATTATAAGCTGATTTGTAAGTTATGAATTGTACCTAAACGTGCTCGTTCAATATAAAAAGTAAGTTTGTCAAAGTAATGTTAAAATATCCAAGAAAGATGGACTGGATTGAGCAATGTACTTGACATATTGCCCAAAAACGACAATTATATTAATTCAAAAGTTAAGCCACAGTGATAATTACAATTAAAAATTCTACTGGATAAATTAATCAAAAATAAACAGCCGACCTATTTATCGTATTGGGAGATGATCCATAGGGGCGGTCACTTGTCTGTCTCTCATAAGAAAATGGACAGCTACGTGGCATAAACCTAGGACATTTGTCTCTCTCTCCCCCCGCCCCCTCGCCCTTTCCCCCGTCTCCTTGTCTATATATAATTCTTCGATTATACAGAAAAAAAAACCTTCTAGAAAATCATTCATAGTGATGAATCATGGAGGATGCAGTGACAGAAATTAAAGATTTGGTTTTCTCTGAAACTGAAGAAAAGGAGAGTGTGGAATCAACAGGTGGGGTGTTGAACAATTTGGTTTCCAATCCCAAAGAAGAAGAAGAAGAAGGTCGTGTTGTGAATAATTTTATTTCCAAATTAATATCACCTAGGAGTAGTCCAAGATTGAGGGGGGATATGGATAGTAAAGAAAAGGGTGATGATCTTGGATTCAAAGATGAGTCAGGTGAGGATCTTGGCGGTGGTGCCGGTGGCCGTGGGTTTGTTAAGAATGTAGTGTCAAGCATTTTTCATCAAAGTAAAGGAGGAGGTGAAGAAAAGGTGAAAGTTGAAGAAAAACTTGGTGTAATTGATAGTCTTGTCTCTCACTTGCCTACACCTCTAGCAGGTATAAAAAAATTGCCCTTGTTTCTTTTCCATGTCAAAATTTGATTGCTGAATTTTAATAATGTTTTTTGAGTGTTGACAATGTTAATTTTGTTTGTCGAGCAGATGATGCAGTTCCTGCAACCGATGAGGCTTCTATCCTAATTCATTCGATTGTTCATGACTAGGAAATATGTTGTACTTTTTTGTTCGGTTTCTATGGATTTTACCTCGTGTAAGCTGCAATGTCTAGGACTCGACTCGACAGACTGAGTGTATAAGTTTGGATCAAATAATTTTATTGATTTAGACATTGTCAATTTGTTTTTTCAATGTCGTAGAATTCATGATGATGCAACTTAAATTGAAGAGTATTAGAAGAAGAAAAATTTGGGTATGAAGTGTTCATTTTCTATAAGTTGTTCGTTCTAACATTGTTAAGGAAGGAAAGAAAATTGTATTTTATTTTTATTCAAGTTTTTTGACCACCAATTCAACATCAGAGGGTGTTTGGGAGCAATTTTTAAGTAAGAATATATTTTGGAATAGTAAATTGATGGGAAATGTGTGGTTGAAAAATAAAGAAATTTTTTTATTTACATATAATATTATTTTAATGAAAAATGTGTGATTAAAAAAAAAGAGAGAAAAATACATTTTGAAAAAAAATAAGTACCAGGACGTAATTCTTCTTTATTACATTGTATTGTTCTGGTCAATGTCTAGAACTTTAAAATATTGAGAACTTACATGTTAACTTCAATTTGAGTACATAATTTAGCCCCCGTTTGATCCCCATTTTGTGATAATGAGAATGAGTGGAATAGTATTTTTTTGAAAAATGAGTGGTTGGAAAAGAATGAAAAGTTTTCGTTTTACGTGTAATATTATTTTATGAAAGATTGTATGGTTGAAAATAAGAGAGAAAAATAAAATGTAATGAAATGAAAATTAATGGGGGCCAAACGGGGGTTTATACCGCATGAGATTTAGGAAAATTATTCTACAATAAGGATGTGAATTATTTATTGTTACGGTAGAATTTGAAACCTTAAATAGAGAATATATTGATAAAATTGATTTAAGAAATCTAAAAGGAAAGAGGGAAAAAATGGTTTTAATATTGCAGAATATACATTATTCGTGTAAAGCTCATTTGTACTGTTGATGTACTTTTAGCTAAATGTCAATATGGTTACTAAATTTTAATTGAGTCCATGAAGTTCAATTTAATTTCAAATTACGAAGATAACTAATCTTTAATTTAATTTAGTTGGAATTTCATCAGTTTGTTGTCTGGTCTCTCCTAGATTAATAAAAAAATGGTTTGATTGACAATTATACTGCAATGGTTTTTTCACTTATTTGCTGAATAACACGCTAATTTATCACTACTCTACATCATAAAAGTAAAATAAATAGATACGTGCCCCCCAGGGAACTTCTCCACTGACAAAGGATGGGTTCTCTCAAGGTTGACAGTTCATAGGTCGTGGATTCGATTCGTGGAGCTCTTGGAAGGCAAGGCATATACTGGAAGGCAGGAATTTCTTGGAAGACAGAGCGCAACGTGGGTTGGCTCACTAGGCACTTTGGCAGTTCAGTTTGAGAAGCGCTCGAACCCTGATCATTAGAAGGCACATCCCGTGGTTTAATTGGTCTGTGTGAAGAGGGGCCGGATCACAAACTTAAGGAATAGTCGTCGAAAACAGACACCTTGATAAAAAAATAATAATAATAATAAAAAAATAGATACGTACTTTAACTTCTTAATCTAATGACACTTTTAGAATCCTCATTTTACTATTTTCGTTTTTTAAGGTGTCACGTAGTTATTGCATGATAGATCAACTTTAGTACGACCATTAACTAAGTAATTTCTTTTAGTTTAGAGGATAGTTGATGATGGAATGCTACAAAGTGGTAGAATTTGAAACTAGATTGAATTTCAATGTAGAATTTAA